CAAAGTGGCCAGAGCCCGAGCGGCCGACGCTGAGATCCATGCCATTGTAGCCGTAGCCGTACCTGCCGGAGTGCATGCTCGCCGAGTCCCTGAATTGCTCGCTCACGGAACTATGATCTCCATAATTATGCAACTGGTAGTCCGGGCCATTTGGATAGCGACCGCAAAATGAGTTTACAAAATAAGAGCTCATTTGTTTTTTGATATGTGTGCTTGATTTGTGGCTCGCGGTCGTTTGTGCGTCTATAGCACCCTTGCACAATTTATGATGAATTATGGAAATGACTGGGACATGTACTTGGTTCCCTCCTACGTAGGCACCCAAATATGGGGTACGACTTCGAATCACGTGCTTTTGTTGTCCAGTCGTAAATCCTGCCTGATGACCTCTAGAGGTAAACTCGTGCACTAATGGGGGAATTGGGTGGAGGCAAGAGGGGTGGCGCGCGCGCCCCGAGCGCGCGCCCGCCGCCCGCAGCCGCCGCTCAGTCGGACTCGAGCGCCACCCGCTGGAGGCAAGGCGCATCGCCCCGCTTCCGACCCCGGGCAGCAAGGGCCGGGGTCGAATTGAGGTTACAGCCCATTATGGCAAAATTATTGCATTTCCCTCGCAGTTCCATTAGGATGTACCAATTGTGAGGCCGTCAGCTGCCGATCGCACGCCCGGCGAGGACGCAGAGGACTGGGGGGAGGTGGCGACTTGGATTTTATTTACAACTTTATTTCCCCCGATTTGCAGCCCCTCTTATTTTTGTGTCGAGGTTAGGGTCGGTTCTGCCTGTCCTGCCGGCGGCTTTGAATTTTGAAAATACAGATATCACCTTCGGGGAAGGGGGGAGTGGTCATTTAGCCAATTGGAGAAATAAATCCTGCCCGCTGCAGCAGCTACAATTACGGCTCTGGTTTTGCGAGCGCATGAGGGACAGTGTCCCTGCCGCTCTTAAACGACAGGCGTCTATTAAAGATAGCTTTTGTCTAGTGTTTCTCCTAGGCGAGGTCAAAATCCATACACTCTTATAACCGGAGTCAATTTTTCTTTCGTGTAAATATGGTTTTCGTGTCATTAGTTTGCTATTTGATTTGCTTACGTATCCAGCCTAGAGAATCTTCACCACCCTGTCTGTTCTTCCAGCCAGCCTGGCCCCAAGTTGGAGGGTTCTCGATGAGCCCAGAGAGTGGGCCCAGGTTCTCTGTGGTCACAGAGGCAGCTTGGAGGATAAGGATCCGTGTGCAGGGTTTTTGGGGTCTTCTTCGACCTCCAGGAGTAAAGTGAGGACGCTAATGGAACCATTTCGTGATAGTGCCTAGTATCTCCGTAGATTTTTTCCTGGGCTCCAAAAGACGAAAGTAAATCACAAATGTAGCTGGGAGGCAAGAAGAGTCTCCCAGCTTGAGGCCCAGCTTCACAGGCGCCCCTGGCACGTTTGGAAGGCAGGACTCTTGAGGCTCCCATGGCCCTGGGCTCCCCTGTTAGGTCCCGAAAGCTGCCGCGGTGGCCGCGCCGGCACTATCGAAGGCGTACAGCTAGAATTGGGAGTCGGGAGCCTGCTGGAGCGCAGTCGCTCCCGGGGCTGTGATGTTCCGCTGCGCCCAGGTTGGCTCGCCTTGGCTGAGGACTCAGGCTGTTTCTCTTCCACTGACGGTTGCGGCCGGGGCCGAGACTAGGCTCTGTCGGGGCCCTCTTTGTTCCTCAAGAGCTTCTTCCAGTCTTGGGCAGCCTGGAAGGCCACGGCCAGGCTGGAACCCCAGCCCTTAGCCTACCGCCTTCCAGTGGTCAGAGATGATTTGGTGATGTTCTTCGACACTACGAGTGGAGGGACCGAGGCAGAGACTCCTAAACTCCAAACGGGGCTCGGTCCGGGTTCTTTATCCCTTGCAACCCCTCGCCCCTAGCTCAGGGAGAGCAGAGACGCTAGCACAAGAGCGCAGGATGAATTCAAGGCGTACCCCCAGAAACTTGGAGCCGGTCTAAGCAGCGTTGGGGAGCCAGACTGTACAGTGCACTCTGCTCCACCGCTGAGATTGGCCGTGTATGATTTTTTTTGTTGTTTTGGGTTTTGCGTTTGTTTTTGTTTTGTAAGAATAAATGCCCAGGCGCTCGCAAAGCTCCAGGCTCCCCAGAAGCTCCGGAAGTCCCTGGATGGGAGCAGGCTGGGGGAAATGTTGGGGAGCAGGCGAGGGCAAGGGTGCAAAGCGGAAGGAGATTGCAGCGCTGGCCTGGTCTCGGCCCTGGCGTCTACTCGCCCGCCTTTGCCTCAGAGTCCTCCCCGCTGGGCTGCGTGGAATTGATGAGTTTATTTTCCTTTTTCCACTTCATGCGGCGGTTCTGGAACCAGATCTTAATCTGGCGCTCGGTGAGGCAGAGCGCGTTGGCGATCTCGATGCGGCGGCGCCGGGTCAGGGAGCGGTTGAAGTGGAACTCCTTCTCCAGCTCCAGGGTCTGGTAGCGGGTGTAGGCCGTCCGAGCCCTTTTGCCTTCCGGGCCGCCTATGTTGTCTGCAACAGAAAAGCCAGCGGTTTAGCCAACTCCTCAGTTGCTGGCTTCCAAAGTCTGCCAGCCGGACCAGCCAGGGTCCTGAGCAAGGAA